AACCTGCCAGTAACCACTGTTAAGATCAAGCGTAGAAAACATCTCGTGTCCTGACAAATGGTCAAAAGCCTCATCAATTTTTGGAAGAGGATAAGCGTCCTTTGTCGTCACATCATTTAATCGACGGTAGTCTACACAAAAGCGCATTGTGCCGTCTTTCTTGCGAACAAGAACTACTGGCGATGCCCAAGGGCTGTTTGAAGGTTCTATCACATCCTTTTTGAGCATTTCCTTCACCTGTGCATCTACCTCATGAGACAAATGAATCGGAATTCGCCTAGGACCTTGTTTAATGGGTTGTTTAGCTTGATCCGTATTTATCCTATGGTGCACCACATTTGTCTGCCCTAAATCATAATTAGAGGTTGCAAACAAAAACTGATTTTTAAGTAGAAAGTCCTCAACTTTTGTAACTTCGTCGGGCAATAGGTTGTCCTTACATCTGTCCAACAAATCTTTCAGATCACCTCGCAATTCTTTAGTTAACTCCTGAGGATAAGATGTCGATTTTGGCCTCTCCTCAACTGCTGTCATTTTTCCAGTGTTCCTCGAAAAATCTGTTGCACATCATCTGTGACGTTCATTAGGCAAACTGGTATCTTATCGTTACCTTTAACAAGAGTGCGTCCAACTAGTGCACGCCTTGTCTCAATAAATTTTCGTTCTGGTTCAACTAAGTAATCCGCTCCTCCATAGTTATTATTCCCCGTAACATTGGCTGAAATAATTATTTCACTTCTTGGTGGTATGCAAATATCACTTGCTGCAGTAACTCTGTAACAACTTAATGTACCTTCCCAGGAAAATGCACATTTCTCATTATTTAATCGCAGCGAACTCTCTTGAAGATCTATCAGGCCATTGTATTTCTTTAGAAAATCAAGCCCAATAATTCCGTCCACAGAAATATCTGCAACAACAGCATCAATAATTCTATCTGATTCACCAATCTTTAAAGAAAATGTTGCTTTACCATAGTGGGACAGAACAGAACCACTAGCATTAAATATTCGCTGTGCATTCTCCTTTAGCTCAGGTCTTTCCTTCTGCAATCTATCAAACAATCTCTTTGAAATAATAGTAAGGGATGCTCCAGTGTCAATCAAGAGTTTTGCGCTACTCCCATTCACATTTCCCTGAATAAAAATTCCTGCTTCCTCGCACAAGTTGTTTGCGCCAACATTGCCATCTTTTGTAGATTTTCTCTTCCTTTTACGTCTACTGCGAACTTGACATGCGCTTCCGCCATCTGACTTTGCTACATGTCTCCGTCTATCCTTTTCTTTGTCTTGAACTCTGTTCTTTAACTTTTGGCAATTTTTCCGAATGTGTCCTTCTTCCGAGCAGTAGTAACATTTTACCCTGTTACGTTTGCCTTCTTTCTGCAAAGATTCTCTCTGAAATCTTGTATTTGTCTTTATCTGTCTCTCCAAATTATCTATTTTATTCTACATTTTCTGCATCAGTGCTTTCAAATCTTCAGAACTGGCAGTTTGGGTTTGGGTTTGTCCGTGAGTTTCAATTGCGCGCATGTGGCTTCTTTTTTCTGTCTTGTAGTAGGCATCAAGTTCTACTGCTAAGCGAATAGCTTCATTGAGATTCTGTGGTCGACTCTGCTTTTTGCGTAGTCTCATATCAGAATCTATCAATCCATCGATAAAAGCCTCCTTACCAAGGGTTTCTCTTACTTCCGCTGGTGCAGATGGATATGCCAAATAAGTTAATCTACGCACAGCTTGGCCTAGCTCAGATAATGTTTCTGATGCCCGTTGTCGCCTTTCTTTTAGTTGCGCACGGTACAACTCAGTCTGATTAGGTGGGGCAAATCTTTCTTCAAGGGCTTTCACTAAAATGTCATATTGTTGTCCTGTTTCTGACGGAACATTTCCTAATATTCCTTGTGCAGCTCCTCGTAATGACACTGCTAAATACAACCCCTTTTCCTTAGAATTCCAATTATTGATAGCCGCACATGCATCAAAGTGCGATTTATAATCTAGCCAAGAATGAGTCCCATCAAAGGTTGCAGGCTTTAAGTTACACTTGGCTATAGTTTTATCTTTTTGGTCTTCCTTCTCTTTACCCACTATGTCCCTTATCTGCCGAGGAAATACGCTATCTATCCCTGCGTTTACCTCATTCCTGTCGGAATTTCCAAGTCGACACTGCACACGTGCAGGTGCTTGATACTGCGCATTCGCTGGTGCTTGATACTGCGCATTCGCTGGTGTTTGATGCAGCGCATCTGCTGGTATTTGATGCAGCGCATCCGCTGGTATTTGATGCAGCGCATCCGCGGATGAATGATTCATCGGTATCGGTGGCTGTGCATAATCCTTTAAAGCAGTTTCTGAAAACCGCGCATTTAATGACAACCTTGGAATCTCATACTTGTTTTGCACCTGACCCTCATGAGGTAATTCTGCATTTCTAATTTGCGCAGGAGGCCCAATTTGATATTGCGCTTGCGATGGCATTTGCGACTGCACACTCAGTGGAACTTGAAAAGGAGAATGCGCAAGAGTCTCACTCAACACACTAGCTGGATGCGGATGCGCATTTGACAAAATGCTCGGCGTACTTCTATTGGGCAGTGGCGCAATCGCTTCATACTGAGGCGCACTCACAGCATAATCTGTTGTCAAGAGTGATGCATCTGGCCCAGAAGTCAAATTTCGTTGCGCCGTTTTTCTTCTTACTGTCACTCCACCTATGTCTTCTCGGGGCTGATTTCCTTGAGGGCTTTCACCAGCCATTGTTGCAATGCCAGAATCGCGCATTGGTCTATTTGAATCAACAGGTGTAGATTGCTTCTCTATTTCAAGGCGCAATCGCTCGCAGCTCTTTTCAAGAAAAGATATCTCCTCATTGAGCATTTCTTCCATCGCGCTCATAATTTACAAAGCAAATATAATAATAAAAAAAACTTTAATCAATTTAAAATATCTATTACTTTTATTATATGCCGAATCCCACCGCGCTGCCACCAAAATTATGTAACGTTTCCGGGTTCTTTTATGGGATTCGGTTGTTCTATCTGAACAATTGAAGAATTAATCAATTTTCTCAATCACAAATTTAAATTAGAAATATGTACACTATCCCTCTCGTTCCCCGGGAGCGCACGCGCCTTCCAAGGACTGAAGCGCATTCGCTTCTTGCCTTCAGTCACACAAATGTATAAAGGTACTTTATATAAATATATATAACCAACCAAAGTCCTGAAAGCCTGATTCAGGCACGTAAGACTTTATTCAAGGATTCCCTTGCAGTACCTACCACGTTCAGCTCTTCTGTTCTAGACCGTCTTTACAAGCCAGTCGTCAGCAACAGACTGCTTCAAACAACCCGACTGTCTCCGTATATATACACACTTCAGGTCACGTGACCTGCTGAGAACCGAAGGGAACAAAGAAACAGGAAGTCATCACAATGTAACTACCGAGAAACGAAGGGATAATTGATTTTGATTTCAGTTTTGCTTCATTTCTAACACCCAACACTTCTGCTGCAACAGTGACGTCAAAAATGACGTAGTACACTTTCATCCGATAAAAACCAAAACCGGTCCGGAAATAAAATGTGGAATGATTATAATTTCACTAATAAAATAAATCCAAACAAAACGGGGTAAATGCAAATTTATTAATTCTTGATAAACTTGATTTGGGGAATACCATGTTCAAGAAGACAATTTTGAATTTGAAGAAAAGAGGAGGCTGAATTTGGAGAAACGAGTGGGGGAGGGGGTGCAGGTCGGGTAACAGAGTAGTTAACCCCTCCCCCTTTTTATGTAAGATTCTACAAGAAATGACAATTCTTTTGAATAAATGTATTCAAATTGATCTTGATACTTGTTATTGAAATTATTTTTTTAACATGCAGTCTATTTGCATTGGGGGATCCAGAAAGGGGGGGGGGTCCGGAGGTTGGTACGGGCTTGAAGTGCCTATGGTGCGATTCTATGGATGTGTGTTGGGGGCACCGACCTGGACCCCCCTTCAAAATTTGCTGGATCCGCCCTGACATGTTAAAATATAACATTTAACTCGAATTTTTCATATTACGCTTAATATTAAACTATTGCCAGTTCACTGATCAACATTACATTAATTAACATTTTTTTTTATCTCGTTAAATTTAAATAAAATTAATTCAAATAACGATAACATTAATTTAATATTAAATGAAATAAATGTGAAAAGGCGATTGGTTATTCTATGATGTTCAGTATGAATTTTATGTGAAACTAAAACATATGTTGAACATATGTTTGAAACAACCATATGTTTAAAATATGTTCAACATATGTTAAACATATAGTTACCACAAACATATGTTCAACATATGTTTTGAGTCTGCTATGTGTTCAACATATATTTGAAACATATGTTCAACATATATTTGAAACATATGTTCAACATACTGTCGAAAATTCATATGGTCAACATATGTTTAACGTATGTTCAACATATGTTACTCGAAACATATGTTGAACATACGTTGCAATTTTACCTGTGTAACCGATAACAGATACGCCAACCGATAACAATCATTCCGACCGAGTAATCGGTTAACCCGGGTTATAAATTGTCATCCCTACTTCAAACACATTCAACTGAATTGAGTTTTATTTACTTTTTTGACTTAAAACACATAACAATCATTTTTATTAGAAGGTATGATATTTATTGAAATAATAATATTGAAATAATAGGAATAAACTTACACCACAAGAAAGCTGGCTTGGTAGCTATGATTTGCGTTTTAAGAAAAAAAAAATACCGTATACTTGTGATTCATGAATAGATAAAATCAAAAAAAAAAAGGTTTTGCATAACTATTTCATGTGACATCTTCGGTTGTAAAATAGTCAAATGATAAAACACTATTTTCTGTCATGTTCTAATATTAATGCACTTACATGTACACGCGACAAGTGAAGAGGACTCTATTTCAAGGATTTGCTACGTAATTTCTCAAAACCTTTACTTTTTCAGGAAATGTCACATTGGGATCCCCGTGTATAAAATCTTCTCAGTGCACAGGAACAAAACATAGTAGTCGATGTATAGACGGTGAATGTTTTTGTAATGACGGTTTTAGAAAGATTTCATTGCCAGAGAGGTAACTTACACATATATACTAAAACTAAATTTAAAGAGAACCTTGTTGCATGGGAAAAAAGAACAAAATACATATATATTGGTCATACACTATCTAAATCAAAAGCTCAAATAGCCTTGTGGTCGTTGTGCTAACAGGAGCTTTTGTTTTTACTAACCTCATTCAAACCTAAGGTCTATGTCACGTAATACGTTACTTTATATGCTCTTATCATTTATTTAGTGATCTTTGAACGATGCAAAAATGCCCTTTGAAGTCTTCGAAATTGAAAAAAGAAATTCCATCTTTGAATTACCTTCAACGAAAATTATAAAATAGAAAGTGTGAATACCCAAAACAGTAAAATAAAAAAAAATAATCCCAAAAAAAAAAAAAAAAATTAAAAAAAAAACCGTTTTAGTTTGAAGAAAGTTAAGGGAAATGATATTGTATTGTTGTGAAAATTGAAATAAAAGGCGAATAAACAGTAATGGTAACCTTACCCTTGACGAAACACAAAATTCAGAAAATTTTATTTTAGGTCGAAAGTCGAAAAAAAATATGAATATCCTCATTTATACAAAATTCACGCGTAATTTCAAAAGTCAACCGGTCAGCATAATTGTTTGATGCAATTTGACGTTGAATTTTTAGTAACTTTATATTATTAGAGATTATTGATGTTAAATTTTTAGTGAAAGTCATATTAACACCAAAAAGTAAAAACGTTGAAATGCTCTCCTATAGTATGTTTGTTTTCTCCTAAGACAAATTTAACCATTTAAACTGAGTTAGGAGATTGGTGATGCATATGAATCCAAATATTACAAATCAATGTTAATGATCTACATGTACTTCAAGCGTTTCTTACCGTCACGGTAGCTCAGTCGGTAGAACGCTTGCTCCGTGATCGGAAGGTTATGTGTTCGATTCTCTGCCGCGACTAACCTAAGTCGATAAAAATAGGTAGCAACTGCTCCTTCGCCAAGCTCTGGGCATTTTGAAGTGAAAGTTTCGGGTCCTTCGGATGAAACCTTAAAAGCCGAGGCTCCGTGTCACTGTAGACGTTGGCATGATAAAGAACCCTCATTGCTCAATGGCCCTGAATGCCGAGTAAAGGTCTTAATTGGAAGCCCTTCACCGGTATATGGTGACGTCTCTATATGAGTAAAAATTCTCGAACGGGACGAAAAACAACATACCATCATCATCATCATCAACAAACGTTTGTGCTATACATGAGATATGAAAAGAATTAAATATTTGAATTTACTATTAGAAAAACATTTAATACAATCATTTGACCCTTTTATCATATACTCTATCATAATCCTTCAGAAGAAGAAGTAATCTCAATTTTAATAATTCACTTTCTCGTATACAATCATTTAAATCGGAGCCCAGCAAGCTTATGAATGCTAGAAGAAATTTATTCCGAAAAACTTAGCTGGTGAAACTTTTGATGCTCATCAAAATTCACTCCTTATAAATAGACAAATCAGTATCAAAATAAAGAAAGCAAAAGAAACATAGATCTTCTCGACTTGCAATGAAGAAATCTGATATTTTTTTTTACCTTTGCTCTTTTATTTAAATGCACTAAATGTACTTAAATTGATTTTTGTGAAATATTAGCGTTGATATTTTTTGCGGAATTAAAGAATTTACAAGTGTTTATTGTTTAAGTAAGAACGTGTGCTTGGTGATAAAGAGGTAGGGGCTCCATGCAAACAAAAAACACACCTTGTAATTTTTTTTAATTCCGCAAGAATCTTTTTGACCTCGAAACAATATTTTTTAACACAAAAGTGGAAATAAAACGTAAAAGGAAAAATTGACCCGGTAGTATTTGTTTAACCCAAACTAAGTTTTGTTTGTTTGTTTGTTTGTTTGTTTGTTTGTTTTTTTTTTTTTTTTTTTTTTTTTTTTTTTTTTTTGGGGGGGGGGGGGTCATTTCCAAGATTAATGTCAGATTAAATGAGAGTAAATTTTATATCTGAATTTTGAACAGTCTCTACTTTGTTTTGTTTTTGATTATGTTATGATTTATGAATTTCTGAGACATAAACTACCATTTTTTTGTTTTGGGAAATCTTTTAAATCTGTATAATTTGATTCATTTTATCACTTTGCAGAACAGAGGACTTTCAGTAAGTACATATATTAACGCGAATCTGGAATAACTCTTCAGAAGTATTATATCTCTGAGAAAGTCAGCGAATATTTTTTTAATTAGTTTTATGATATTTTATTGTAAATCATTTTGCAAAATAATGACGGCTTTCCCTTATTATAGATGACATCAACGTATATGTTTTAGTTGGAGCAAGCAATTTCTTGTTTGGGGCACTATGTTCATTCTTACTATTCTTCAAAATATACAGGATCAATAAAAATTCAAAGAAGGAAAGGTAAATTTTGAACATAACTGGCTTTATAAAACGTTTATTTGTTTGTTTGTTTTTTGTTTTTTTCTTCTTATTAAATTAACACTGACGGCAATAATGCTGTAATTCAATTTATCAGCTTAATGGCACCGATTCTCTGTGATGTTGATGATAGCCATCCCAACACGAATGCAGTACACAATGGGATCAGAACTCCAACGGTATTTGGAAGAGATTAATACGATAGAATTATTTATTTTGTTCTCTCCTTACACGTTTATCTTAACATGAACTGTTCCATTTTGAAATTACGATAAGTGAGGGTTTCTTTACAACTTCTTTCTAGGAATTTGTAGTAGGAGATCGCGCTACCCAATCACATCTTTTTGAAAATAGTCATCCGCTCCTAAGAGAAGTACAAATTTCTGAAAATGTCTCCGAGCATTCGTTACAAATGGCTTTTTTAGTAGAGCAGAACCTTACTCGGGATATTGGTAACAAACTTCATGAAGAGGAAACGTCTCTATCACAGAACTTACATGGTGTCTCAGATAGGGTGGCTGAGCCGTTGTCTTATGCTGATTGTGGATCTAAAACAATTTATGATTTTGCAAGACCGACGTCTTAAGATACCTTTGAGGAGTGTGTATTGAATGAAAATGGACTTAAACATTGTATTTTTTTTTATTGTTCCTTATTGATTAATCCCTCGTGTGTTGCTGTTAAAAGTCTGTAATAAATGTTTAAATTTGAAGATAAAGAATTGTGATTAATTTCATACATCTAGTGAAGAAAAAAATCGTGAACAGTGCAATAAAATATGTTGACTTTTTGCAAATATAAAAAGCATGGCTCATGCGCATTTTCTCTAATTCTTAGTAATAATTACTTTTTGAAAATTGTGGATATGAGAAAAAAAAAATTAATTGTGGCAACAAAATGTATTATTATCTGGTCTGTCCTTTTACGAAAATATTGTTTTCTTTTTCCTGATTGCTTGCGTGTCAGAAAACATAAACAATTTATCATGGCCTCAGAATTGACAGATTCTGTGAACGGGACCCCCCCCCTTTAAAAAATACTGCTTAGTATGTGCATAGTTTCAATCAAAAATATTTGGTGTGAATAATGTCTATAATTTACTAATAAATCTTCATAGGATTCCAGATTGGTCCTTCAACTGTTTACGAAGGAATAAAGAAATCACAACTATGTGCATCAATGAAATTGTTCATTTGCGTTATTTAACTTTCCAACGTCACAAACGGCTATTACGTCTATTAAGCACACCAGTCCTGAAAGGCGTTAAATTCATAATAAAAATTAACGAAATAAACAATTATGAAGAGAGAAAATTAGAGAATGTAAATATAAGCATTGAATTCTTATTTTTTGATGTCGTCGGTCCTATAACACACCTGGCCGTGCCGACAAATTATCATACCGCGCTGACGCGGTATTCAATTTTTCGGCACGGCCAGGTGTGTTATAGGACCGACGACATCAAAAAATAAGAATTCAATGCTTAAAAAGACATCAATGAGTCTTAGACTAAAAGAAGCACTCCATTACGACGTCATCACGTGAAGTCTATAAATAGAAAAATTGCCTTAACGAAAAAGTGAAAAGGTCAACACTACCCTTGTGAAAATAATTATGTAAATACATCACTGGGCAATGAAAAGTGCTGCTAGAATCCTACTCCTCCGAAACAGAAAAAATATTTTCAAAGTTTCGCATGAAACCTTACAAAAATTTTCACATTTTTTACATACGATCAAGGAATTGTCATCAATTCATGTTAACCACACAACTCTAGCAGCACTTTCCAAGTACTATAGAATACAAGCTTGCAATACAAACAAAAATTATGTTTCAAAGTATGCGGCGTAGTGTTGAACTTTTGCATCTTTTGTTGTTAGAATGACAGAGGAAATGCTGATCTGGGGCCCGTTTTACAAAAGAACTTACGACCAAGACCAAAAACTTAAGTTGATTGTAAAATTTTGCAAAATAAATGATTCTGTTTAAAATTGCTAGTGTGAAAATAACTTACTACATTCCTTTTAAAACCATTTTCAATATATTGTAAATTAAAAAGTTATAAGCAGAATTAAATTTTGGTCTTAGTCGTAAGTTCTTTTGTAAAATGGGCCCCTGGATTTCAAAACTGCCTGTGTTCATTATAAGAAAAAATTATAAGTATAAATCAGCGTACCTGATTCTTAATTTTTAATTCCTTATGAACCACACATGACATTCACGGTATATGCTTTAAAACTCCCATTTCATACATTTGTTTACATGAATTCTCGTCACGTTCAATTTTCATTCGGCAAATATTTGATCAATAGTTATGATGTCATGGGTTTGGTATCTTACGCCCGTGGTAAAAACTAAGCTATTTATACCACCAAAAATCGACAAGATTTAGTTTATATTATGTTTTTGAATTATTCCATTCACTTTTTGGACCTGAAATTAAACTTTGAATATAGATATTAAGAAATTATTATCTCTAAAGTTCACGTCATACAGCTTACTATGACGTCATACTGTATAGGCAAGTAGGATATCTGAGTGCAGCCTTAACATACCCGCGTATGTTTAACAATCCCTATATTATCCTTCATATCAGTTACAATTAATGGAAGAAACATTGCAACAGCTACTACTGTTTAATGTAAGCGTGAATTTTGATTTTCGCTTATGATGTTGCACTTGCAGTGCGTTCAACGTTTGAGATGTCAAAATGAAAAAGCCTAATTTAACCTGAATGCCTTAGTTTTCCACACACTTTAGCACAAAATGTATGTAGAATGTAAATCTGAGATTACAAGGACTTTGTCTGACTATTAATGTCTACATGCTTTATTCTGGTATCTGCATAAAGAATCCAATATTGCACGAGAGTTTTTAGGTCACCTGATCATGAGTCATCAAGTGACCTATTGCTATCTGTCCGTCGTCGTGCGTCGTTAACATTTTTAGCTTCCTCTCTGAAACAGCTGAGCCAGTTTCAACCAATTTTGACATAAAGCATTTAAAGGTAAAGAGGATCACAAATTGTGAATTTCATGGTCCCTGCCCCCCCCCCCCTCCCCCTGGGGCCTGAGGGGTGGGGCTAAAACATCAAAATTAATGCAAACTTTAAAATTTTTCTTTTTTCTCCTGGACATCAAGCAGTTAAACTTTTAGCATGATTGTAATAAACATTGTGCCATCTACTTAAAGCGAGAAATTCATGGCCCTATGGTCAGGGAATCTGGTGTTAGTAAGGGGCTCTGTTGAACATACAGTAAAAATGCAGTATTTCTTTTAAAAAGTATCAAGCAAACAAAGTGAAGGCAAAGTTACATGTATGATGAACATGGATATCTCTTCCAAATTGTTAAATTCCATGGGCTCTGGGTCAGAGGTTCTGGTGTTGGGTGTAATTTCACTTTATAGATAGATTTGCAGTTATAAAGTGTAGTAAATAACAGTAAGATTACAAATTAAATTAAAATGTACGAGGACCCCATTGAAAATTCAACGGATGTGAAAATTGTTTTGGGGAAATGCAATAATTTTTGGCCAGAAACAATTTATGCATAAATCAATCAATCTTTTTGAACTTCATTTGATTTTAATGTGGATCTAATAATCAGATCACCTATATTCTTGTGTTTACTGTATGCAACCATAGGGGGTGTTGTGAATAATTAAGTCTTTGCATAGTTTCTCATGTTGTATGTAATCCCAATATTTCATAAGTCGTTTCCTTAACCCCTTATTCATGGGTTATACTTGGTGACCAAAATTGTTGGGTACAACTTTATTTTTCTTTTTTTTCTTTGGTTTTTTGAGAAGATTCATTCTATTTGCAGAAAGTGTTTCTTGTATAATAGGTTCAATTTCTGATTGCTTATAACCTCTTTTTTTCAGATGAGTCTTGAAATCTTTAAAAATAATTTGTAGTACAGCTTGATTACTAGTATTTTTCAGATGTCTAGTACATTCTCCTTTAATTAGGCCCTTGAAAACTGACGGGCTCTGAGCACTTTGCCTGTGCAGGTACTGAAAGCTGTTCGTAGGTTTCATATATGGGCGAATGTATAATTGCTCTCTCTCTCTCTCTCTCTCTCTCTCTCTCTCTCTCTCTATATATATATATATATATATATATATATATATATATATATGTTTGTATATATATATATATATATATATATATATATATATATATATATATATATATATATATATATATATATATATATATATATATATATATATATATATATATATATATATATATATATATTATATCACATCTAACAAAAGTACTTAAAGGCTTATATGTTAAAAATCAAATTAAAGAACTTAACTATCAAAACGACCTTTCGTCAAATGATATAGTGATTTAAGGAAATAAAACTGTTCTTGTATTTTTATTGGCAAACCATGTATATTAAATAATGTATATTAAAATATCAAAATTATATAAAGTTGAATGCACATCTATATATGTATAAGAACTGCGTCCACAGTCCTCAGTTGTTATGGTTCGAAAGTACAACTTCACTACTAGAGTTTGGACATCTCTAACTCATAGACAATTAGCACAGTACTTTTTTAAAGTAATTTAAAAAAAAAATACTGGTAGACATTTAAGCAAATTTTGCTGAAAGCTGATTTATATTAAACTGGCTAAAAGTTGCATCAAAAATAGTGATAAATATACAAAAGTAGGAAAATCATAAACTCGCATTTCATTAATACAGTAAAATGTAAGTTCCGGATTTAAAAAAAAAAACCTTATTTGGATATTATAAACATATGGAAGTGTTTATAGATGCAGAACATCAGTCCAACAGATACGTTTGCTATGTATCAATCCTTTTTGCACAGCATAATATTTCTGTGAATTCCACACACTATCAGAAAATAGCGCTTTCGAAAAAAAAAATGCGTTTACCTACTTATTTGAAGGAAGTTAGACATTGGTCTCTTCTTTCTATCAGCTACGTATCTATAACATTAAAAAATAGAATTAAGCATGTGCCTGGCAAATTCGAATGCAATTTCCCCCCGAAATTATATAAGTATATGATATATATATATGGAGATAACGAACAGTATTCAAGCTCAAAGGCCAATTAAACAATACAAAATAGGAGCAGAGCAAACACAGACTTCCAAAACATAAGAGGTGGGATCAGGTGGCATGGAGGAGTGAGTATCCCCTGCCGACCGA